GGAAAGAATTTAAGTATTGAACAATGATTATATAACAGGTATTTTGCCAGATACTTGACATATTTTATTGCACTGACTCTCAATAAGTAGCTGTTATTAATCTCATTTTACAAACCATGAAACTAAAGCTTAGAAAGATTATATTATGATTCACTTATGTATCTATTTGCCCCTATTAAATTTTAAGTTCCTTTAAATTAGGGACCAAGTGTTAATATGTACCAAGCACTGGAGTATTCAAAATGAATTAAGTGTTGAATAAATTTGTGTGTGTTGAAAATTATGAAGCTAATAAGAGTCAGCAGTGGAGCTCAACTCAGATATTGCCTGAATTCAAAACTTCTATTTCCACTGCTTCAAATTGCTGTATCGGTTCTGTGACATCTATCCTTTCTCCATTTTACCTTATTTTATATTTCTCTTATGTTATTTCTGTACAGATCTTATTTTTTCTTACAGATAGTAAACCATTGGTGGTTATAAAATGTATCTCAATACCTACTCATTCATTTAATCATTTTGTTTTTATTCAACAAATATTTAGCATCTACTAGATGCTGGGAATATAATAGTAGACAAGACAGACATTGTCTTCATTAAAATCACATTTTTGTATTTTCCTAAATGCCTTAAGTTTAGTATTACTATTAATATTGTCATGGTTAAAAGTGAAAAGTCTGAAGTTCAACTGTCTAAGTACGAATCCTGATTCTTTTGTTTACTAGCTATCAGCATATACTTTCTTTTTTACTTTAGTTACATCATACATAGTAGATTTGTTGGGAGTATAGTCTTAAGTTGAACCATGTGAATTTACTATTTCTGTAGGAACTGCAAATATTCAACTTAATATAATTAAGGCTATTAGAACAATAGCCAGCCCATAATGTTAGTTATTAATATTATTTTAAAATGATAACTTCTTTTAGTTTCACTTAAAGAAATTTGGACATATTGGGAAGTTCTAAAATTTGATTAGTAGTCTTTATCACTCATTTAGTCTTAAATCACATCAAAATTAGGTATCAGGTAATAGTGATAGAAGGACATACTTTCTGGTAGCTGTATAGTAATCCTTATGAAATGAATTGATCATGTCTCAGGTGAACCTTCATAAACATCCTGGTTACTGCTTACCTTGGTAGAGTTAACTCAGAAACTGACTCCTGAAAATCAAAAGCTGAAAGTACGGCTTTTTAATTGGCGCTTTTCTCATTGTAAACAATTATGGTCTTGCATTTAATGAATTCGAAATCAAAATTTAGAATATTTCCCTATTGATTGTTTTTTAAATATTTATTCATTTTTTTGATATAATTCACATTCCATAATATGTCCTTTTAAAATGTATAACTTAGTGGTTTTTAGTATGTTTACAAAGTTTTAGTCATTACCACTATTTCAGCCCAGAATATTTTCATCATCCCCAAAAGAAACCCTTACCCATTAGTAGTCATTCCTCATTTCTCCCTCTTCCCAGTCCCTGGCACCCACTTTCTGTCTTTCTGGATTTGCCTATCCTGAGCATATCATATAAGTGGAATTATACAGCATGTGGCTTTTTGAGTCTGGCTTCTTTAACTTAGCATAATGTTTTCAAGGCTCTTTCATGGCATAGCATGTATCAGTACTTCATTTCTTTTTTGCTTAAAAAATATTCCATTGTTTGGATATACTACATTTTGTTCATTCATCAGTTAGTAGATATTTGAGTTGTTTTCACTTTTTGGCTCTTAGGAATAATGTTGCTATGAACATTCATGTACAAATTTTTTTATGGTCATATGTTTTCATTTCTCATGAGTATATACCTAGGATTTATAATAATATCTTGTTGCTCTTGTTTGTTTAGTGATTTTGCTGAACTAATTCCATAAAGTCTGTATTCTTTGCCATGGGTAGCCACTGAAGTCTCTGCCTGGTTAGCTTAATGGTCAGCTAATTATTAGAGGTTTCTTTGAATGCCTTGATCTAATTAGTCTCCCAGGCTTTGCTGAGGGACTCTGTACATGTTGGGATATGTCTTCAGTGCTCCAAGAAGTTCATAAATCTGCCTTGGTCTTCATTTCTTTCTAGCACAGAGCCTCAAAGTCAGTCAGTGATGAGAAATTAGAGCCTTTCACATACAACACTTCATATACGTATGGCCTTCTTGAGTCCCAGGAATATATCAGAGTATTTCAAGGACTCCTATGGAACTCTTATTCCCTTTTTCTTTTAAGTTTTTTGATGAGCTTCTTGTTTGCACCAACTCTTATTGACGCTTTGGGCAGCTGAGATGTTAGTCAGTTGCCATTGATCGTTTTTGACAATTGTCCTGGGGAGAATGTTGTTTGCAGTGAGGGAGCTCTGAGGTGAGATGAAGACAAGGCTTGCTTGTAGAGGTTTCCAGGGAATGGCTAGACATGTCAAATAATGACAATTCTCTGGGATAGGACTTTTGGGGAACACTAAACCTGTCCTCCCCATCTTTCCCCCAGTGGTTGCTATGCTGCTGGTTTCCTGGGCTATCATGATTGTGAGGCTCTTGGTTTTCAAGGTTATCTAGACATGGGGAAAGGTAGATGGATATAGGACAACTTAAAATATCACAAATCTTTCTGTTCTTACTGAGATACAGCTTTTAGTTCATTTCCAGAGTTCTGAAAAAGTTGATTTTGACAATTTTTTTGTTTGTCATCTCATTGCTTTTATGGAAGAGGGAGTTTTGTGGAGTTCACTCAAAAGTGCTTACTTTCCTATTTGTCATTGCTTTTTAAAAATGTTACATGTGTAACAATTTCTTATCCATTATTTCTTTTGAAGAAATTAATACTCAGTCATTTTTATTACTAAACACTTAATAAATGCTTGTTATTATCATGATATAGCAAATAAACACATTTATTTTTGTCTTCATACTTAATGTGTCTAGTCATAATTTATTTATTCTACACTTAGTGAGCATTTATTGGGTACTGGAAATCAGCTAAATAAGACTTGGTCCCTATTTCAAGGAGCTCCCAGTATAGTAAGAAAGGTTAAGAATAAATCAAGAACTATAAAAAAAAAAGTGGGAATATTGTAATAGAAAGATCTACTAGAAGCTGTAGAGGTTTCATCTTTGTATATCCTCAAGGTCTGGCACACCATCATTTCTCACTTGGACTGTTGCACTAGCGTCATCACCGTTATCATCATTTTTTTATCTTTTCAATTCAGTTTATCACAACCAGAAAAATCTTTACAGAATGCAAATTAGATCATGCCACCCATCTAAAATCTTTCAGTGATTTTCATTAACCAGAGGTTCCAATCCCAAAAACTTTTTTATAGCATAACAGTTGTCAGAAATATCTGATATCTTTTGCCACTCCGACTCATAACTCATTAAGCTTTCATGAAAGTGGCTTGAGTTTAGTTCCTTGAACATGGCAAAGTTCTTTTTTGACTTAGAGTCTTTGCATATATTGTTTCTTTTGCTGGATACCTGTTCCTCAACTCTTAGCTTCTAATTATCCTGGTATCTGCTTAAATGTTACTCAGAATTGCTTCCCTAATCATCTCTCATTTTGAATTATATACTATCATTTTACCCTGTTTTCCACTCAGAATCTTTATCACAAGATTTTCATGTTTGTATATTTGTAACTGTATATTTATTTTTGTGAGTATTTGTTTAATCTTTATCCAGCTAGGATATAATCTCTTTTGTGAGGTGAAGGAGTGTGTCTTTTTGACATAGAGTGTCCTTAGTAAATATTCATAAATGAATTAATCAGTCAATAGCAGGCATCCGGGCAAAATGTATATTGATCTGAATTTAAGCTTAGGGGGTACCTCATTCCCCCATGTGATAATGCTTATGCAATCTTGGAGGAGTAGTAATAGTACAGTTAAGTGACAGGGCGTGGGATTTCTTATAGTAACAACAGTAACATCACGTTCAAAGGCCCAGAAGTGTGAGAAAATAAGATTTAGCAGACTGTTTCTCAAACTTTTTGATTTCGCACCCCTTTATACTCTTAAAGTTGAGGTCTCCAAAGAGTTGTGTGTTGTGTTGTGTTTTGTTTTATTTTTTAATGCAGGCATATCTCTCAATATTTATTATATTAGAAATTAAAACTGAGAAATTTACAAAATATTTAATTCACTTAAAAATAATCAACCTGTACATGGTAACATCTAAATAGCATCTTGTATGAAAAATAACCTTATTTTCAAGAACAAAAAGCATTATTTTACATTTTCAAATCCTATTAATGTTTGGCTTAATCAAAGATGACAGGTTCTCATATCTACTTCTTGATTCACTGTTGCAATGTGTTATATTAGTTGAAGTCTATAGATAAAATCTGACCTCAGTCATATAAGGGGTTGGAAAAGAGAGGAACAGTTTAATAGCCTTTTAGATAGCTGTGGATATTTTTCTTTGATATTAAACCAAAGCTTAATATGTTAGTTGCATTATTAAATATGAAAATATATCAATTAACTATTGTAGTTGTTTTGTATTAAGATTCACTGGTCTGTTTTGTATTTTAGTGGATCTTTTACCCATGTATAACTCTGCAATATCATGCATTGGTCATTTGGAAAATATTGAGTTTTCAAGTTAGATTTTCCAAATGGTGACACATTTCATTATATAATATTTAAATCATACTCATTATTATCATCATTACAAAGTTCTCAAAAAAGTCTTTAAGTATTGAGAAGCCGTCAAGCTCATGGAGACAGATAAAATTACACATAATTCTAAAATTTTACTTGAAAGCTTGGATTTTATATTTGGCATCAAATACTTTTAATTGTTTCCTCTTAAGTGACAGGCTCATTTTGTTGATTTTTGAGAAAATGTCAGCCAGATACCCAAGTCCGAATAACCACAGTTACTCAAGGTTAAAGGTTAATTAACTTATCCAGGGTCACACAGCTAGTAAGTTACTAGAGCAGGTCTTTCTGATTCCGTTATGTTGTATTGCCTCATGTCTCAATTATTTGGGAGTTGCCAAAGCATGTTCTTACAATAGTGTATTGTGGTATTTTTCCTAGAGAGCATGAATGGTTTAAACAAGATTTGCCCAGTTACTTATTTCCTGAAGACCCCTCCTATGATGCTAACGTCATTGATGATGAGGCTGTGAAAGAAGTGTGTGAAAAATTTGAGTGTACAGAATCAGAAGTAATGAACAGTTTATATAGTGGTGACCCTCAAGACCAGCTTGCAGTGGCTTATCATCTTATCATTGACAATCGGAGAATAATGAACCAAGCCAGTGAGTTCTATCTCGCCTCTAGTCCCCCAACTGGTTCTTTTATGGATGATAGTGCCATGCATATTCCCCCAGGCCTGAAACCTCATCCAGAAAGGATGCCACCTCTTATAGCAGACAGCCCGAAAGCAAGATGTCCATTGGATGCGCTGAATACAACTAAGCCCAAATCTTTAGCTGTAAAAAAAGCCAAGTGGCATCTTGGGATCCGAAGTCAAAGCAAACCATATGACATTATGGCTGAAGTTTACCGAGCTATGAAGCAGCTGGATTTTGAATGGAAGGTAGGAAATTGTATATTGAGATGATTTGTAGAAACCATTTTTTTGTGCGTAGTAAGCTGCTGTGAGCTGCTGAGTTGAGGACTGAGGTCAATAAAAAAGTTGTTTTTGATTTAGTTGTAAATTAAGTGGTTTTGATGCTTCTGGCTGATAAACCCCATTCTTTGCAATTATATACCACGTGCATGCGAAACAAACATCTGTGAGAAAGAAAAGTGTTGATGTTGAGGACCTACATATTTTTGAATTACAAACTAGCATTTTTGGCAGATAAACAAAAGGTAATGAACTCGAAGTCACCTGTTTCAGCATCCATTATAGTAATAAAAAGTCATGTGTCTTCAAAGATACATATTTTTACTTTTCTCTCTTTTTTAGGGAAGGTTTTTTTTTTTGCTTTTTGCCAACAGCTGTAGCAGCTAATGGTCAATACACATTATACCATCAGGCTATATTTTGTTCATTCAACAGATATTTTCTCTAAGTTGAGAAAAATCTCCCTTATTTGGCTGGTGCTTTTAATCCTTAGTTACGGTGTCTTTTTCTTACTCAAGTCCACATTTTACTTTTTTATTAGTGCTCCAATTTATTTTAATTCTATTTGTGTATATGTAGGGGGCGGGGGGGACATTTTTTCATTTCCGTTATCCCTATAACTCTTGTTCCTTTCTTGAGGACTGTGAATGTATTTTTAAAGGTAGAAGAAAAACACTCAAGCACACCATGTAAATGTTCACTTGACATGTTTGAATAAATCAGTCATTTTCATTTCATTATTTGTGCATGAAATACATAAATAAAATTTTTCTTTGAAACCATTTAAACCACAGTTTTCTGTAGCAGTTTGATTTTAGTTAAAAAAGAATTGTTAATATCTTTAAAATTCCTTGCAGAAAAAATTTTGGAACTAATTTGATAGATGTTTTGCAAACCCAGGATCTTCTTTATCTGAGCTGCAATTTTCTTATCTTCAAAAGGCAGATAATACCTTTCTCACAGGATTATTGTGATACTTAAATTTTGTGACAATACCTGTTACGGTGCCTGATGCAAACTATTAATGTCGGTTGCCCTTTATACTTTCTACTCCATATTCATAAGTAAAATATTCAAGTTGAGGCTGGGCAACCAAAATTATTATTGGTGTTTTAGAGTAAGGCATGTCTAGAATGACGGCTAGATGCCATATAATCTCTGAGTTCCCTTTAAATTTTAATTGCTACACACACTACTGTTGGTGGAGATTGAATAAATACTAACCTACCATGTAATATAAAAAAAAGATCATTCAAGTCTACAGCCATGCCACCTTTAACACGCCCGATCCGCTCGATCTTGTATGATCTCGGAAGCCAAGCGGAGTCGGTCCTGGTTAGTATGTGGATGGGAGACCACCCAGGAAGACCAGGTGCTGTAGATTTTTTTTTTTTTTTAAATGATCATTCACGAATTTCTTCTCTGCTCTACCTCCATCAGTTATTTGTTTTGGTATTCTTTGCAATAAGAATAGGGAGATGTTTTGTAGTTTGTTGTTTTTAACATTTTTCCTTAAAGAAAATTTCCCATTTTAGGTAGTGAATGCATACCATCTTCGTGTAAGAAGGAAAAATCCAGTAACTGGCAATTATGTGAAAATGAGCTTACAACTTTACCTGGTTGACAATAGAAGCTATCTTTTGGACTTTAAAAGCATTGATGGTAAGGAAGCTATGCAGGCATGAGCTCTGAGAAGATAAAACTGGGCACTAGTTGACAGAATGTTAAAATCATCTCAAAGACGTGGTGGGTTGCTCGTCACTGATTTTTAAGTGATCTAAATTGAGCTAAAAATGTAAGTGTGAAATGAAAAGGATCAAAGACACACATCTCAAATCCAGCACTTCTCCAAAAGAAGTGCTTCCTTGGCATAAAAAGTGTTGGCTGTGGAACAGAAAACAGGGAAGCAGTTTTTACCTGAAATTAGCTGATGTTGTCAGGTGGTCACATTTTCTCATTCATATTTTATTACTGTTAGCGTTATAATATCTAAACTTCCCCATTCATCAAATTCCTTTATCTTGGTTGGCCAAGGTGACCGAACAGGCCTCTCTAGGGACTTAGGTTGGACTTCGGTGCCTGTGGCTGTCCAGGAGCCAAAGGAGTTGAGGGAGGAGGTTCTATCTGAGTATTTACTGTGTGCCAAGGATCAGACCTGGGTGAACCCGATGTGCTTGTTTTGTTCAGAGGCCCACGTGGGATAAAACTCAATAAACTGAGGATCAAGTGCTAGATGGAACAAGAGGAAGACTGAGTTCAGATATAAGGAAGTCTATTTAAACAGAGCTTGTAAATTTTATTCTTGAACTACCATCAACTATAGCATTTTTTGTATGGTCCCCAGACCACTTTCATCAAAATTATGCAGAGTTCTTATTAAAATGCAGATTCTTGGGAACTACCCCTAGACCTACTAAATCAGAATTTCTGCAAAACTGGGAATCTGAATTTTTAACAAGATTTCCCTTGTTCCACTCTCAGGCAATTTCAGTGTACTCCGAAGGTCAGAACTACTGTGTTTCGGTAACTTTTATTTTTACCTGAATGATTTTTTATTGATATGCTGTAAGAAAATAAGCCTTCAAGGATGTGTTTTCTTCATTGCAGGGTATTCGTTTGATTTCAAGGTTAATGCTGAATCTTATGTTGAGAAGGATTTAGGGGTCACCTTTTGACTGTGTGAAAGTATTGTGATTGATTAGTGATGTCTTTCTCCATTGTGGGAGGAAAGAGGTATTATCACCCTGCTCCTAAAACACTGAAATATGACATTCATTATTAGATTGCCTTTGCTCAGATGTGTTGACTTATTTAATATTCTGAATATAGCATCTTAATAGGAAGGGCTAGGACAAATAGACCTTTCAGATAAATTGTTCTTCTTTGGTCCATTTCAGATGAGGTGGTGGAGCAGAGGTCTGGTTCTTCAACACCTCAGCGTTCCTGTTCTGCTGCTGGCTTACACAGACCAAGATCAAGTTTTGATTCTGTAACTCCAGAGAGCCATTCGCTTTCTGGCTCTCTTACTGGCTCCTTGACCGGAAACCCATTGTCTTCAGTTACACCTCGGCTGGGCAGTCACACCATGGATTTTTTTGAAATGTGTGCCAGTCTGATCACTACTTTAGCCCGTTGATGTTCTATCCCTAGTTTATATCTTTCTGTTACTGCACTGTGAAAATCAGATATATTCTTTAAATTATTATTTTACTTATGCATATCACATACTCTAAAATGCTGATTGACAGATGTGAATATTGCCAGGGGACACCCAATGCCATTGAAATCACTGAAAACGAGTTTGACATTTTATTTACCTGTAGAAGTCTGTAATTCTATTTTGTCTATGATAAATTCACATAGGCAGACTCTTTAATAGGTGAACATTGATGAAGATTGTTAATTTAAAACTGTGAGTTCACTACAGATGATTAATACACCTTCACTGGTGAACCATCTCAAAGGATGGTTTGGCAGCACCTCCTTGCTTTACTCTTTAGGTAAATTCAGTTTACTTCTAAATATTTCAGCAGGCTTTAAGCTGTGTTTATGCACCTAATTCTTTTGCACGAGAAGATTAAAAAAATAAAACAAGCATTAGTAAGTAGTGTTTAAATGTTAAATTCTTAAAAGCCTGCCCCCAAAATATCAGAAGCCAAGTTCTTCTAATAGTTTTCACCTAGTGTTTAACACAAGGGCTGTGGTCCTGTAACAGGACTGCTTTCCTTGTTCCTTAAAAACAACTGTAACCAACTAGAGGTTTTATCTTGAGATTTCTGTGAATAACATTTATTTTAAAAGCCTTCAAGATTCTACTCAGTATTGGAACATCTGGAATTGCAACGACTTTTATCTTTTTCATAAACATATTTTAAAACATGACTTCAAAACCTACCTTTTGCAAATTCTTTTTTGTTCTATTTATTTTTGTACTTTCTAAAATGTGATGAAATAATTACATGAAACAAAGCGAAGTATCAACAGTCTCTTTAAAAAGAGCTGTTATCTTTGATTTCTTACTGGGTGTGGTAGTTGGGGGAGTGTGTGTGCGTGTGTATGTGTGTGTGTGTGAGAGAGAGAGGGAGAGAGGTTGCATCTCACATGTTAATTCTTCATCTGAATAAGTTTGTTATTGCAGCCAACCCCTCCCTCACCCTAGTCACCTTCCGTCTTTGTTTATTGTTTAATCCTTAGTGGCTGATTGGTTTAGCTTTTAAATCTTTTCTGGTTACCTTTCTTTGTTTTATATCTTGGTTGCTAGCCATCCAATTTGAAAACATGTTCTAGCCCTAAGGGCTTTTATGTACCTCCAAAGTTTGATAGGCTGTGGCCTTCACTGTTGCACCTCTTAGGGCAGGGAAGCCCTGAACATTAAAAAAAAAATCTCTCTTGTATAAATATACGTGCTGTTTACATATATACATATATGTATTCACACACCAATGCTTTTAAAGGAAAACCAAACTTTTGCTTTGTGCAAGTTGTGTGTGTGTGTGTGTTGTAATCTTAAAAAAAAAACTTGTATACAGCAGGGTAGATAATAGCCGATTGATTATATTTTGTTTTAGTAAAAGTATTTAATTTTTAAATTATGTGTAATTTATCTAATTTGTATTTATTCGTTTTCTTTAGTATGTTGTAATTAACAATCTCACCTGACTTGCCCTAGAAAAGATTAAGCTCTTGAAAACAAAAAGTGACTAAGCCTTGACAGGTTTCTCTTTGCCAAAAAGGTTTTCTGCAGGAAGCAAATGAGAATGTTAGACCAAGTTTCTCCTGTGTTTATGGAAGATAGCCATGTCTGTCTTTAAATAGTTTGAGTCAGGAGTTTGTAGTGTTACATCATATTGTTTTGTAGAACTTTTAAAAATACTCATTAAATGACTTTTAAAGTCTGACTTCTTAAAATAAAAGGAATCCTTGTTGAGAAAGAGGGTGAGATTGCAGTTAAGAATTTTTAACCTTTGAAAGATTGCCATCTAGTGGCACCAAAGGGTGCTTTTTGTGATTATTTTTATAGAGATAAGCAGTAGTCCTGTTGTGTTAGTCTGATGTGCATTACAAATATGGCATAATTTTGGCCTCTCCAAATGTGTAAATATATCTTTTGGGAAAAACAAGGCCACCTCATAACATTTGCCTGACTATGAATGGGATGACCTTAGAAATAAGGAACTAGTCTCATTCCTTATTCCCGTGACAAATTCTCTAACAATTTTGAAGGTAGAGAAACAACAGGAAGGAATCCAGTGGCATTTTAGCTTCATTAGTCTAATAATTCAGATATTAGAAACATTCAAATCAAAATTATATGGATGATTATCATGTTTTTTGAGAGTTAAAATAGTTACTGTTTGCTCATTCTTGCCAGTATTCATGATTATCTACAATTTGGTAGTTACCTGTCAAAATTTTAGGAAAATAAAGGGTTACAGTTTTGGTTTTTGTATGCTTAAGTTTTTAAAACATAACATTCTGTGAATCTCAAATTGTTATTTATATAAGAGAGAAGATTACAGAAGGCTTATTAGTCCAGCATAACAGGGGCTAGATACATTGTCAAAGGGGACTTTTTGTTTCTAATGACCAGGAAAGAATCAATTACTGAATTCCCACATTTTAATCTTATAAACTGGTTAATTGTGGATATGGTCTTTGGTAGATAGGTCTGGGGCAAGAACTTCCTTCCAGTTAAAATTCTGGAGACCTTCTCTTAGTAGGTTGTAGATAAAGCCTTAGCTATATCATGGAAATGGACTCCATAGGATTCTAGAATAGCATTTCCCAAATTGTATTCTATGAGATTATCTGCCCCCTCCAATCCCCCAACAAAAACAAAAACACGATTCTATTTGAGCAAGTTTGGAAAATGTTTCATGCTACCCTCTCGCTAGAGGATGACAATGGATATGAACATTAAAGACTCATATCAAAGTCCTTCTGTGAAGAAAAAAAAAAAATTAATTTTATTTAACCCTACTTTGCCCAAATTAATTTAACCATCTTTTTAAACTTATTATCTCAAGGGAAAAAGCAGATTTGGAATATACTAGTTTACGAAATTATTGTTCCAGATTGTCATAATTAGGATAATTAAGAACAAAATAAAGACTTGCTCTAACCCCTTTCACTTGTTGGAGAGAATCTGGTTCAAAATCAGAATAATTTCATTTTAAACTGTGGACATACTCATCTTGAGCAAATGCTGGACTAAATAGAATTATGTATGTCTGCAGCTTTTTCATAGGACCATGATTTTCTTAATCAGGTTGTGATTGGGAGCAAAATTACTTTTTGTGTTGAGTGAATAACTGAAAAATCTTGAACAAGATCACTTGTAAAAAGTATTAAGAGATTAGTGATTAATGCTTATGGCTGTATGGATGATCAGTCAATATCATTGATTCTTACTTTCAAAATGTGTAATCAGTGAACATTTTCCAAATACTTATAAATAGTTAGATCTAATTTCTATTATTCTTTAATGTAGGAAGAAACATCTCAAATAGAATTTGTAAAAGGGGAGGTAGGCAAACTTATAAGTTGGATTGTTTTCATCAACAAACTTTTAGAGACACTTTTGTAACCTCTAGTGTTTGCATTCCTTGATACTAGCCATCCATCCATCCATCAAGAGAATTCAGGATCCTACATTAATCAGAAATGATAGTATTTCAATGTCAGGGAATTGGCTATATGTAGTACAGACAGTTGTCCATTTTCTGCATGTAGGTTATCCATGACAGTTCCATAATTCTGGGTTTGCTTTCTCTTATTCCCTAGCCAATCTGTACTCAGGGAATACAAATTGATTTTTAGTATTAGATGAAACATAATTGAGAAAATAATCATAGACAGCTGTTACAGATTTTTTGACGATTTATTTATAGCCTCTGTTAGTGTGCAGTATACTGAATTAATAAGCACTGCAGTTTTCATTTATAAAATATAAAAGCTTGGAACCTGTTTAACACAGATATTGTATTTTTGTCTATTCACTGGTTAATAATTTAAATCCTATTAAAAGTTGTGAAATCTCAGTATCTAAATGTTAGACACATTCACAACTTTGTTTTTGTTTGTTTTTAAAGACTCCCCACCTTTTCAACTTGGCATTTCTTTACCTGGTCATCCTGTCACTCTGTGACTTTTTAAATAGCGAATGTAATTTATTTTGATAATAGTTCTCAGAGATTCTACTTTATTAGAAATTCTGGATGAGGGATATGTGCAATCTGTTGGTAAGTTACATCCGATGTTGGGGTTCATTTTTGTAACCTCTAAAGTGGGAGGGATAGATTAAAAGACCTCTGAGATATCTTCGGGCTTTAAAGTTATGTCTTATATGATTTGTGTTAGTATCCACTTTTCATATATTTAGTTTTTATACTAGTGTGAATATTCTCTATATGTTTGGTGAGGCATTTTGAAGGTATGTATATACTTGAATATTTTTCTAAGTACAGCTGCCCTCTGGAATACAAATGGCAGAAATTATCCAGACAACTAAGTATGTTAAAGCATCATGTGCACTTGACATAAAGCAAAACATGACTAATTTGAAGTGATGGAAGTGTTCCATACATTTTCTTAGTGATTGTTAGATCCAGAGACTCTCCATATTTATTAACTTAATATATTGTAGTAACCTTGTGAGGTAACCACTTTCCAGATAAGAAAGCAGGACCAGAAAGCTCTTCATAAAGATTTAATGTCATACAGGTATTCAGCGTTGATCACTGTTCTTCATGTGAAACATCTGAGTAGTTGAGTAATAAAAGTAAACACAAATGTATTGCTTTCAGGTCTTAGAGTGACATAATGTAGTCTTAATTGATTATTTCTTAGTTTAATTATTCGAACCAGTTGATTGTACTAACTAGATGTAATTATCTGAAGTAGTTATGATTAGCATTTTGATTTTTATAAGTACTTTTACGTTATCGAGGGTGCTGCTTAATACTAAAGGAATTTTTTAGGACGTGATTCTTCTAATTTTATTTACATGGTTCTTATAGTACAAATCTTTTTAAAAAAGTAAAACCAGTTTCAGCCCCTATCTTAAATTATCATAGTTTTTGACTGTTATCTGAATCAGGCTTATCTAAATTTCATATACAGATTGATAACTTTTCATTTTGTATGCATGTTAAGTGATAAAACACTATTTTCATAGAGTGCATTTCTATTCACGGACTACCTAATTATTATCAGCTTGATAGAATTCTCTCAAACCTTATAAAACTTTGAAATGTAATTTGTTTTATGAGTTTTAAAAATTATATAAACCTTGTTTAAACAAGATGCCAGTATCCTTGACTAGCCTTTCCCACATATAATTATGATGTATTTGATGCCACTGAACAGTAATAGCAAAGAGAACAGGACCCACAGTCTAGACTGGATTGAGTTTTAATTAAACTTCTTCAGCTATAACTTGATAAGAATCAGGCTGGTCTAGAAGTTATCAGACTGTGGGCCTGTATTAATTTTGTGAACCAATGTTAATGTTTACTACCAGTCTTGCATAGCAATGCCAGTTTTCAGCCGTGACTGTGTATGTGACTTTTGGTAACTACTGTTTATATCTAAAGCAGTTTAGATTTTGTGGAAGTAGTTTATGATTATTTGGACAAGCAGGGTAGGTAAATTTCAGTTACATTTAAAGTGCAATTAAGGAAATTCTAGAGTAGAGTGCTCTTTACAGGAAAAAAAGCATTTGTAGAATATCCTAGCATGAAAGCTTTTTTGAGCATTCATAGAATTTTGACAAGATTCATATAGTGTGATTATTATTTTTTTGTTTATTCAGTGTTTGCCACTTTGTGTTGTTTTAAAATTTCAAGGAAAAATAGAAGCGTTCTAGCCAAGGAGAATCAATTGTATAGTTTTTTGCTGCTAATTTACACATGCATTTTTTTATAGCTAAAAGCCTCTTTCCAATAAGTTTTGTGACAAAGGCCACTTTCTAGACAGATGACATTTTCGTAAAATAGAAAAGAGAAACAGATCCACCAATCTAAAAAATAAAAAACAAAAACACTTTAATTGTGCCTTCTCTTTTAAATTATAGGAACAGTAATAATTAATCAAAAACTTATTTGAACTGTATTTTCTTATGTTCCGATTTCTCCCCCTTTTGTTTGTATTTCCCCCGCTCAAATGTTCACATTGTTTTTCTTTTTGTCTTTTTGGGTTCTTTTGGCCTGACCTCACCTTGTCACAATCAGAAATTGTTCACTGATGTATTTTTCTACTTCATGTTGCTTCACTTTTTAAGACACCTTGGTAAAAGTTTGGCTGCCTTTTCATGTTTTTAAAATGAATGCAATGAATAGCAATCTTTATAGTTCAGCCCCTTAAAAAGTTTGTGAAGGAAAGAAATAATGCAAAGAATATAATCTGATTTGGAATCTGAGTCTCAGTTTGGCTGCTATGTCAGCAGCAAGTCACATAACCTCATTTAGTTTTCTCACCTACAAAATGTGGATAATAACCTACCTCACAGATGTATGTGAGAAACTGAAAGCCCTTGTTAAAATACAGGGTTAATCATCCTCATATTTAATGTAAATCCTCTTTTTTTTTTTAAAATAGATATCTTTGATACTGATATTTTGATTTTAGGTAAGTCTTATGTGGTAAAAATGTAGTGGTAAAAGTGTTTTAGACCACAGTTTCACAAATTATGGTATTCTTATTTTAAGTAACAAAATTTCTTGAAACATTGAATATTCAGTTATCAAATTTGTCTTCTGTTGCAACAAATATTCAGAACTTCTTAAAATGTCAGCTGAAGCTGCCTTAATGTACTAACACAGCTTTTTGTCAAGACTGTTCACAGATCTATGGCTGTACAATGTTGTGTTTAATGTAAAATTGTTATAGAACTGTAAATTTGATAAGCATAGTAATCTTAATATTGTTTTCAGAAGAATGCTTGTATTCTTTATCATGTATACATAAATATCATACAGTGGATTTTGAATGCAACAAATAAAACTGAAAGTTGACAGCCAACAGTTTATGTCCATGACAATCATCAGAAAATGTAAGATTGGATATTAAGTATTTAAATTTTTTTTAAAGAAGATCCTGTATTCTTTCTTAGCCCATCTTTGAAAAGAAAAAATTTCCATAGGCTGGTACATTAAACTACTGAAGCACATAACTATTAAAAACATTTTTTTAACTGTTGAAATTGGGATCACTTTTTATAATTCGTTTTAGGAAGAAAAAGACCAGATTCCCAGTGCTTTCGTGCTTTAATAACCATATTCAAATTTCAGTTTTGTTTGTTATGACTTATTTGTGAGTGTTCAATGATCAGTGGGAAGGATGTGTCTTTCAGTAACTGTGTGGTAAAGATGTCTTCTTGAATTATACAACATTCACAGTTATAGGTTCACCCTAGTTAATATTTGCATTGTACAAACTCATAGATAACAGACACAAAAGAGAACAGCAGCCTGCCTGATTGCTTATAGCTTTCTTCACAAAATCAAATTAAACTGTCTGGTTAATTTAAAAGCTATTTTTGTTTCTGTTCAGTTATTAAGCTAATATTCTGCACGTCAGTGAATAATTAGAGAAAGCTGTTGTAGAAGAATGTTGCCTAATAATTCCTCGGAGATTTCATACTATCTTTGTCCACTTTTGCTTCTTTGTTGTACATTGTAATTTCTAACTCTAGCCATTGTGTTAGTTTTCTGTTGCTGCCATAAGAAATTACTACAAACTTAATGATTTTAACAATGCAGTTTTTTTTTTATTGTCAAGGTAACGTTGGTTAATAATATATAGGTTTCAGGTATCCGACATTATAATTTAGCATCTGTATACACTATAGCAGGCTCACCACCAAGTCTAGTATCCGTCCATCACCATGTGTTTGACCATTTACCAATTTTACCCTCACCCCAACCTCTTACCCCTCTTAGAAACACTGATCTGTTGTCCGTATCTGAGTTTTTGTTTTGTTCGTTCATTTATCTATCTTTTGTTTTATATGCCACATATGAGTGAAATCATGGGTTTTTTTTGTCCTTTTCTGACTTATTTCACTTTGCATAGTATCCTCAAGATCCATCCATGTTTTTGCAGATGATAATATTTCATCTTTTTTATGGCTCAATAGTATTCTATTGTATGTGTGTGTGTGTGTTTATATGTATATATACATATGCATATATATATACCACAATTTATCCATTCATCTATCGATGGACACTTAGATTGTTCCCATATCTTGGCTATTGTAACGAACTGTAATGAACATAGGGGTACATACATCTTTTTGAATTGTGTTTTTGTATTTGGATAATACCCTGAAGAGGAATTGCTGGATCATATAGTAGTACTATTCTTAATTTTTTGAGGAACCTCCATATTGTTTTTCATAGTGGCTGCACCAGTTTACATTCCCACCAACAGTGTTCAGGGGTTCCCCTTTCTCCATATCCTTGCCAGCACTTGTTTGTTGATTTATTGATGATAGCCATTCAAACAGGTGTGAGGTGATACCTCATTGTGGTTTTTACTTGCATTACCCTAAATGATGTTGAACATCTTTTTATGTGCTTGTTGGCTATCTGTCTGTATTCCTTGGAAAAATGTTTCTGTTCATTTTTTTAAATTGGGTGGTTTCTTTTTTGTTGTTGAGTTGTATGAGTTCTTCATATATTTTGGATATATTAATCCCATATTGGAACTATCATTTGCAAATATCTTTTCCCTTTCAGGTGGTTGCCTTTTTGTTTTGTTAATGGTTTTTTTTTTTGTTATGCAAAAGACTTTAGTTTGATGTAGTCCTGCTTGTTCATTTTTGTTTTCATTTCTCTTGTCTTTGGAGTCAAATTCACAGAAACACCACTAACACTGATGATGTTCAGAAGCTTCGTACCTATGTTTTCTTCCATGTATTTTATTGTTTCAGGTCTTATATTCAAGTTATTTTTTGTGTATGGTGCAAGATAGTGGTCTAGTTTCATTCTTTTGCATGTGAGTGTCCAGTTTTCTCAAAACGTTTTATTGAAGAGAATTTGCTTTTTCCATTGTATATTTTTGGTTCCTTTGTCCGTATACGTGTGGGTTTGTTTCTGGGCTCTCAATTTGTTTTATTCTGTGTATCTGTTTTTCTGCCAGTATCATACTGTTTTGATAACTAGAGCTTGTAGCATAGTTTGAAATTGAGAAGTATGATACTTTCAGCTTTGTTCTTTCTCTCAGAATTGTTTTGGCTACTTGGAATCTTTTGTAGTTCCAAAACAAATTTTAGGATTTTTTTTGTTGTTGTTCTATGAAAAATGCCATTGAAATTTTGAGATGGATTGCAATGAATCTGTAGATTGCTTTAATATGGACATTTTAATAATGTTAAGTCTTCCAATTCACGAACACTGAATATATTTTCATTTTTTTGTATCTTCTTCAATTTCTTTCAACAATGTCTTGTAGATTTTAGTGTCCAGGTCTTTCACCTCTTTGTTAAGTTTATTCCTGGGTATTTTATTTTTTTTTGTTGCAATTGTAAATGAGATTGTTTTCATTTCTCTTTCTGATATTTTATTATTAGTATATAGAAATAGTAGATTTTTGTATATTGATTTTGTATCCTACAACTTTACGATGTTTATTCTAATGTTTTGGTGGAGTCTTTAGCGTTTTCCGTATATGAAATCACGTCATTGGCAAATAGTGACAGTTTAACTTCTTTTCCAATTTGGATGCTTTTTATTTTTCTTGCCCTGACTAGGATTTCCAGTACTGTGTGGAATAAAATTGGCAAGAGTGGCTATCCTTGACTTGTTTCTGATCTTATAGGAAAAGCTCTCAGTTTCTCACCATTGAGTATGGTGCTATCTGTGGATTTGTCATATATGGGCTTTATAATGTTGAGGTACTTTCATCTCTATCCATTCGAGAGTTTTTTAAAATCATAAGTTGATATATCTGTCCAATGCTTTCTCTGCATCTGTTAGATGGTCATATGATTTTTATCCTACATTTTATTAATGTGATGTATTGTGTTAATTGATTTGTGGGTCATGAACCATCCTTGCATCCCTGGGATGATTCCCACTTGGTTGTGGGATACAACGATGTCTTTTAATATATTCCATTTGCAGATATTTTGTTGAGCATTTTTGTATCTATGTTCATTAGAGTTATTGGCATATAATTTTCTTTTTGTTTGTCTTTGCCTAGTTTTGGTATCAGGGCAATGTTGGCTTTGTAAAATGAATTAGGAATAATTCCTCGGAGATTTCATACTATCTTTGTCCACTTTTGCTTCTTTGTTGTACATTGTAATTTCTAACTCTAGCCATTGTGTTAGTTTTCTGTTGCTGCCATAAGAAATTACTACAAACTTAATGATTTTAACAATGCAGTTTTTTTTTTATTGTCAAGGTAACGTTGGTTAATAATATATAGGTTTCAGGTGTCCGAGATTGTTTTCATTTCTCTTTCCGATATTTTATTATTAGTATATAGAAATAGTAGATTTTTGTATATTGATTTTGTATCCTACAACTTTACGATGTTTATTCTAATATTTTGGTGGAGTCTTTAGCGTTTTCCGTATATGAAATCACGTCATTAGCAAATAGTGACAGTTTAACTTCTTTTCCAATTTGGATGCTTTTTATTTTTCTTGCCCTGACTAGGATTTCCAGTACTGTGTGGAATAAAATTGGCAAGAGTGGCTATCCTTGACTTGTTTCTGATCTTATAGGAAAAGCTCTCAGTTTCTCACCATTGAGTATGGTGCTATCTGTGGATTTGTCATATATGGGCTTTATAATGTTGAGATACTTTCATCTCTATCCATTCGAGAGTTTTTTAAAATCATAAGTTGATATATCTGTCCAATGCTTTCTCTGCATCTGTTAGATGGTCATATGATTTTTATCCTACATTTTATTAATGTGATGTATTGTGTTAATTGATATGTGGGTCATGAACCATCCTTGCATCCCTGGGATGATTCCCACTTGGTTGTGGGATACAACGATGTCTTTTAATATATTCCATTTGCAGATATTTTGTTGAGCATTTTTGTATCTATGTTCATTAGAGTTATTGGCATATAATTTTCTTTTTGTTTGTCTTTGCCTAGTTTTGGTATCAGGGCAATGTTGGCTTTGTAAAATGAATTAGGAAGCATTCCCTCTTCAATATTTTTTGGAAGAGTTTGAGAGGGATGGGGATTAAATCTTCTTTGAAGGTTTAGAATTCACTCTCTGGTCTTGGACTTTCTGGGAGGTATTTGATTACTATCAATTTCCTTACTAATGATTGGTCTACTCAGATTTTCTATTCATGATTTAGTCTAGAAATATTGTGTGATTCTAAGAATTTATCCATTTCTTCTAGGTTATTCAGTTGGATGGCGTCTAGCCTTTTATAGTATTCTGTTATATCCTTTGTATTTCTGTGGTATGTTTTAACTTCTCTTTCATTTCTGATTTTGACTTCTTTTCCTCAGTGTATCTAGTTAAAGGTTTATCTTTGCAAATGACCAGCTCTTAGTTTTATTAATCTTTTCTGTTGTAATTTTAGTCTCTATTTATTTTTGCTTTGATTTTTATTATTTCCTTCCTTCAACTCACTTTGGGCTTTGTTGTTCTTTGTCTAGTTTTTGAAAGTATAATGTTAGATTGAGATTTTTCTCGTTTCTTGAGGTAGGCCTATATTGCTGTAAACTTCCCTCTTAGTACCGCTTTTGCTGAATCCCAAAGATTTTAGCATGTTGTATTTTTATTTTCATTAGTCTCTATATGCTTTTTAGTTTCTTCTCTATTATTTCATTGATCCAATAGTTGTTCAGTTGCATGTTTAATCTCTACATATTTGTGATTTTTTTTCCAGCTTTCTTATTGTAGTTGATTTCTAGTTTCATATTAATGTGATCAAAAAAGATGCTTGATATCATTTCAGTCTTCTTCAATTTATTGACTTGTTTTGTTTCCCAACATATCTATCCTTGAGAATGTTTCACGTGCACTTGAGAATAATGTATGTTCTGTTGTTTTGGGATGGAAAGTTCTATAAAAGTCTATTAAATCCAACTGGTCTAATTTATCATTTGAGGATGATGTTTCTTATTGACTTTCTGTCTGGATGATCTATCTATTGGTGTAGATGGGGTGTTCAAGTCTCCTACTCTTAGTCTGTTGTTCTCTATTTCTCCCTCTTGGTCTAGTAATAATTGTTTTATATATTTTGCTGCTCCTAGGTTGAGTGCATATATATATCAACAAATGTTATGTCTTAAGGGATTGTCCTCTTTTTCATTATAAAATATCCATCTTCATCTCATTACCTTTTTTATCTTGAAGTTTATTTTGTCTGATAAAAGTATGGCTAAACTCACTTTATTCTGGATACCATTTGCTTGAGGTATCATCTTCCACCCTTTCACTTTGAGCCTATGAGAAGGCAGCATGTAGCTGGGTCTTGTTTTTTAATTCATCCAACTAATCTGTGCCTTTTGATTGGGAAGTCACCAGGGACATTATTGATATATGTGGA